ATTTCTCTTTAAGGAAACTATCGAGGCCCCCGAAAAAGTGATAGTTGATAGCCAGAGGTATACTGAGTAGGATATCTGCAGCACCCCTTCCTTAGCCTAGCTGGTCCAACTTGTGCAGGGTTGGTTGTGCGATATGCGTGTAGGACAACTGTCAGAATGTGTCCGTCCCTTTATAATGAGAAATGCTGAACCCGTATTTTGAAGATTTTGGTGAATTTTGACATAATGTTAAGAGTTCTCCTCCACTGTAACAGTTCCACCTGATACGGGGAACTTGGCCAGCCGCTGACCTGATGAAAGTTGCCATAACCCTCCTTCAGCACAGTTTAAGTTTTGCAAGTTTGTAGAGCTTGATCGCCGTCGAGCTATTCAGCAAAGCTTCGTGGACTATAGAGAAGAATCCGCTCTTCATTGTACGTCGCAAATCTGTAGAAAACGAGTCGCTTTATCACATAAAACAAGCTACAATTTGATGGACGACCCTTCAAATTGGTGATTTGTCGCGGCACGCCCCTATCAAATTTTTTGGACTTTCCAGCTACTTCCGTATAGCTTGGCTGTACAAACCATATACGTCCAGGTTGGGCAGAACCTCCTCAATGGTCCTACGCACGAGTGCCTCAATCAGAACTTTTGGCTAATCGGTGGCAACGTCCGATATCCGACCACCACTCTTATCATACCCAAGGCTCTCGCTTTCGTTACAATAACTTTTGAACTACTCTTGACTGTTTCCGCTACTTTCAGGTCTATTTAAAGCTAGAAAAAGAAAAGTCATGCCAACTTGCTCATCGAGTATACCACATTCAAAGCTCTGAAAAAGTTATAAGAAAATGTTTAGAACAAAGCTGAGCTAAATGTTGGATAGAGCAGGAAAGCTCTTCAAAATGATATCCATACCGATGGCAGTTTCTCTAGATTTCAAGTAAAATGAAGCATCCAAATGTGGAGTGTCAGAAAACGACAGAACTTTCTGAAAAGCCTAATACAAAATGAGGTTGATATTGCTGAATTGCTATAATAATCATATATTTATTCTTCTTTCTAGATTTATTCTCAATCTGATGACAAGATCACAAGAACAAAAAGGTCAATATATCATTTAATTTGGTACCTCACAAGAAACCCTTATTGAATATTCTGCAGGTAGGTAATCGTGGAATCACGGCTCATAAACATGACGAAATTAGAGAAAAGTAACACCGGGAAAAAACAACAATAATCGTTGCTACACCCAATATAGTTGTTGTCCGTGTGCATTTTTACTCGTACAGACGAGAGCAAGCAGTCAACCTGTAGAAAGGCTACCTCAGCACCCTATGGCATTTGAGTCTAGTGCTTATATTCTGCATCGATCAATTTCGCGATTGTGTTCAGTTGAATATTTGAGGTTCCCTCATATATTGTGCCTGAAAAAAGAATTGAGTCAGAATTGAGCTAGATATTCCCTGCAGGACCCAATAAGGACACCACACTTCTGCAAACTATACGAGTGAGTCACTAATGGTTGGAGCTAGAAGAAATTCAATATCAAATAGCCCAACTAAGCTCACCAATTTTAGCATCTCTGTAGTATTTCTCCACGGGATACTCCTTCGTAAAACCTACTCCACCAAGCCATTCCACACATTTTGAAGCGGTACTACACGCCACCTGTAGAAGAGAAAATGAGAGAAAGATACCGAAACATTCCCGGTGACATACCTGAGATGAGTAGAGTTTCGCCATGGCGGCTTGCTTCACGAATGGAATGTTATTGTCCTGAAAGCTTCGATTTTTGATAGAAATTCCCAGAAAGCGGTAGTCGAATGCCCACCTTCATTCTTGCTGCGTTATAAACCAGTAATCGAGCAGCCTCGATCTCTACCGCTGCTTGAGAAATTTGATGTTGCATACCCTGAAATTCCAACAAAAAAGTGACATATTAGAAAACAAAAGAGATGGCTTGGTAAGTTACGCTAACTGCATCACTTGTCTGATACCATTAGAGTGCAGAGAAAGAAGCCGTAGCGGTTTTAGGCACGCTATTACATTTTCACAGCTAGCAAGACTGGATCGAACTTGAAGATGGGACTCGATCCCGCACCTCTAGCTTTAACAACCTAGCATTCTTGTGAAATATTGCACAGTGTTCCTTCGTGAATTGTTGCTCGCAGCCATGATTCACACGTACCATTTTATTATCAGGATTAATTTTTTTCTAGATTTCGTGCCATGCCTTCATGAAAAGCTCTGGAGAAACCGGCCGGCCCGTACGCACTTTGAGAAGTGTGGACGAAAATTTATTGGGCGGCACAATCCAGAGAAGATTATCTTATTACAGCGCATTTTATTTGATTTATTGAACAACCAGAGTGGTCCCCCGGCAACAGCCGGACCATTCCTTCCCTCCGAAGCTTGCCGTTCTTTCTTACCACCTTATCCTCCCCTAACCTCCCTCCCCCCACCGGTCTCCGCCTGTCAATATAGCCTTGGGGTATTATCGCAATCACGTTGCAATGACACCTCAACACCGTATCAAACCGTATTCCTGAAAGCGATGCACTCCCTCCCTCTTTCCTCCCCCCCCCCTCCTGCCCATCCCTGCCTTCCCCACCCTCCTGCCCTCCCCTCCGGCAGCACCATGTAGAATGAGACTGAGTGTGCTCGATTGGTGTTTATATAGCCGCTGTGGAGTGTTATCATGATCATGACATCAACATCACGAAGTGTTGCCCTTCGTACTCCTGGTTTTGTTAGCGGTCGGTCCGGACGGAC